AGACAAAATTTTCGATATATAAAAATAGTATATGCATAGAAATCTGAAGATACAATAGAAATAATTAAAGAAACAAAAAACGAGAGGATTACGTTGAGAAGGATAAATGCCTAATGATATTTTAGAAAGATAGAAATAGAGTATTAATACATTTTCTTTTGCGATTAGATGATGGATAAGTGGGGCGTTTTACTCTGAAACTCATTAAGTAGTTAATCATAGGATATCTATTTTTGGTTGAATAAAGAAAACAGAGTGCTCTTTTAGCTTTCTTAAGATAGAAGACGTCAGAAAAAATCTCATTAATCTCCAATGAAATCAATGTTCCTTGAAATTGAATAAAAAAAAACATAGAGACTCTACCTAATGATATAATTTGAATGACAAAAAAAAAGACAAATAATAGAAAACATCCACTGTTCATAGTCAGTTCTTAATTATTATTCTTAATGAACTTGTTTTGAAATTCATTATTTCTTCTTATTTGACTACTGTCATTGAAGCGTTAATGAACACAAAAAATCCCTTCAGGTTGATTACCAACAGAAACATGTTCAATTCGTTTTTAATTAACTTTCTCTTGTTTCATCTAGTTGAAAGATATGTTCATTGTTCCAATTAAAATAATCTCGTAAATATGAAAATAGTTTTGAGAACCGAGTACTTAGTATTTGTATTATATCTGCAAATATGATGATCATGCTAAAGCATTGTCTATTCAACAAGTCAAATAAACATCATGAATCATTGACATAGAAGTGGTTTGTTATTCTTTGTCAGAAAATTAAGGACAACTATCGATATATTTCAGAGCCAAGCTCTTTTCATTGGTCCATCGTCTATTTCTTGATTATTTAATTTTTCTGAAAATCAAAATAATAGAAAATTAATTGTCAAATAATTCTCATGAAAATTTCTAATGAACTGTTCTATCGAAAAAAAACGATTAATATTAATATTTTAATGTTCAAGAACAACTTTTCATTCATAGCTGGTTTAATCAAGTTCCTGGGCGAAATATTTCATTTTCTTTAATTATTTAATAAATGTATGCAATAATCGCTGTGTATTAAAAAGACATACTTTATAAGGAGTATGGCACGCGTACGATCATATAGTCTTTTTTGTCTCGTGACTTTGTTTGAAAAAACATCATGTTTTTCTTTCCTAAACAGGGATTCTATTCACATTGTACAAGTGTTTATCGTCGCTCGGACGTCCTTCACATTATTCACACTCTTTCGTTTTTTTTTCTTTCTTGAAATGCGGAGTACATTTGTAGCCTTTCATTATCTTTTACTTTTCATTTTATAATGTTATTTCCTTAGTGACTTTAAAGTGTATTTGTATCTGCATTAAGGGTACAACGACCTGAAGCACTATGAACTAAAAGTATACTTTATTTAACCTTTTTTTAAATTTTTTTTCTTTCAAATCTTCCCTAAGTTATCATATCAAAGAAACATAGAATATTAGTATTATATTTTTAATCAACACTATTTTCTCAATTGAATAAACAAGAAAAAGTCATCAATATGGTATGTCAAAAAAAAAATAACTATTTTGATTATTGGTTTTTAACTTTTTATTAATGGTTCTTTTATTCTGCTCAGAACAATTAAAGTATGCGTGGGTTTGTCGAGATGAAAACAATTTTTTGCTTTATTTATATTACTTGTTTTTTTTAATTAATAAAACATAAGCTGGCAGTAATTATGAAACATCAAAGATTTAATTTTCCTATTAACACAATCTATAGATTTATTTGTGCATAAAGCGTAATTACTATTTAAAAAAAACAGTTGAAAATGTAATTCGTTGAATATTTGATACAAACGAATTAATTACTTTCATTGTATGATACATCATTGATGCGCAATGCTATTATAGAACAAAAAAAAGTAAGTAAGACAGAATAAGAATAAAAAAAGGGACAGAGAGTGAAAGAGAACAAGAGAAAAAATATCGTTTTTGTTTAATTGGTTGATCTAACTGAGATTCTTTTTTTTTTTTGTTGCTACTTTGATGATTCATTATTTCTTCTCGTTAAATAGATAGTCATCGGAACAATATTCATTTCTTCTTTTCTAACATACAACACAACATCAGTAAAATATACACCATAAGAATAAGGTAATTCAAACGAAGAATCTATTAATGTCTGCTTATTGACAGCTTTAACTTGTCTATGATTAGGAAAGTTTCATATAAATATTTATTAGAATCAAAAAGATAACATTTATAAACAGAGCAATTCATCAGAAAGATTCGAACTCTGCGAAAAACTTAAGGAAATTTTGTCTTCCGAAAATTAACTATAAAAAAGTCTCTTATCTCTTGTAGGTAGACTACAAAACCAATGTCATCTTCCTTCTTTTCTAATCTTTGGAAACTTGTAACGATTGTATTGATAAATAACATTATATTATTAACGTCTCCTTTGAAGTGAACTGTCAGAAGTATTTTACACCTGATGATTTTAGAATAGAAATCTCTTTTGAAGGTAGAAATTGTCAGTATAATCTTAGTAGGATGATGCACCATAACCGATCATCAAAACATAAATTTTAGTTAAATTACTATGATCTTGATTGACTCAATATTGTTCATCTACATTTATATCTGCTTCTTTTCAAATTATGATTTGTGATAATATATATATATCGCTCATATTTTTTTTTTCAAACACAATTATTATGAAAAAAATGTCATACAATAGAATTTTCTTTCTTTATTCTATCTAGAGTTCATATTAATTTCCGAAAAGTACGACTATTGTTCTAACTATTGTCATTTCTTCTTCTTTAGTATGATGATGTTCAAATCATATATTATTATTTTATCCATTGTATCTGGTCTTGTTTTAACTAAACCCATAAAAAATATCAATAATGAAAAAACTTCCCAAGATATATCAACTCAACAAGTTTTTCGACAAGCTGAAATGACTCTCAATCGTTATTTTCAATCAATGAAATCCGATACAGATCGACTTGTTCATGCTTTGTTACTTATGTTAATAAATAATCCAAAATCATTTCCACTAGTACCAAATCGTACATTAGATATAGCATTGAAAAATTTTGAAAAAAAATTAGGTAAAAATAACTTGGATATATTAATCAAACCAATATTTTTGTCTATGGAACAAAATGCTCTAAACAAATCGAATCAACCATCATCGTTTCAATTGACGGATGAAATTAAACATGAAATAGAAGATGCATTGGACAAATTCTTGGAAGAACAGGAAGACTCTTCTGATATATAAAAAAAAAACACAAATCGAATAAAGAAAAAATTCTGTTTTATTGTTGCGTTTGAAAACATGAGTAAAAAAAATAAAAAAAACCCGTACGTGCAACAATATTTTCGTATATGTTGTATTTATGTTGTTCGTTTAAGCTTTGTTGAAGAAATATAATTTATTTATTCCTGGAATTTATACGTATTGTAAATTCAATTGGCTGAATTTAATCATTAAATATAATTGGCAGAAAAGATTTATTTAATGACTTCAATAATAGAATGATGATAATTTTCTATAGAAAAACTAACTTAATAATTGTTTTCATGAGTGTAAAATGAACGGAAACAATAATAACTTTTTTCACGCTTGACACCTATTTGCAATTGCTCACCAATCTATAGTTTTTTTTTGTAAAGAACTATGCTATTCAGATTCTAGTTTATCTCTTGGTTAGAATCAGGCTTAATTAAAAAAAAAGTCTTTGATGCTAAATATGTGACGACTTGTAAAATTATATTTAACATTAAGGAAATTTAAAGAAGTATTACGTATACATGTTTTGATACTTTAATGGATTAGGGAAAACAAAATATCAGTAATAATAAGTATGAAAGATTCTTACTTTTAGTACTCTCAACAGAAGCATTCGTTAAGTAGGTATTTCGAAAAATCAATAAACCAATGTGTACATTCAACTTACTGGAAAAAATATAGAATTACAGTGAAAGAATGTTAGAACATTAATTATTTATACTTTAATCTATGAATATATTTATAGAACATATATGTAATAATATTACATTTGAGAATTATGAATAGCTATTTGATTATACAATACAAAGTTATTTCTAATTGAAAGTTTCTTTTATTTTTTTTTTCACATGAAATATAAAACACTGATAACATATATGTTTTAATTAAAATGCTGAAAATAAAACTGCTAGATATTTATCTTAAAAGATTGTATTCATGATGAAAAATCCTAATATTATTATTCGTTGATTCCTAGTATCTGGCTTAAGATTACTAGCTTATGGCTATTTCTTATATGTTCAGACACTGATTATTTAAACTAATTAAGTTTAAAATAATTTATTTGGTATTATGTTCTAAAAAAAAGAATGTTAATTAAATGTATAATACTCTTGGATTTTACTCACATACAAATTATTGCCACATCGTTCAGGAGGTGTTGGCATTTCAGATAAGTGTTTATTCAAGTAAACCTTGAAGGAAAATTTTGGATTAATGAAATCATTTGTCCTACTTATAATCTGTGGCTTTTATTTAGATTTTAATTAAATCAAATGCAATTAACTGTTCCGCAGCCAAATCCATTGAGAAGAAAATGTTTCATCTAAAAATTGTTTACTGATAGGCATCAACCTGAAGTTCTTTTTTCTGTTATCACCTCTTGTTTAACATATAATAAAGTATCTTAAGAGCATTCAATCTATTCTTCATAGGAAGATTGATGAATAATTTGACATGGCATGATAATTCTCTTCAATTCATTCCAATTTATTGAATAAGATCAAAACATTGACAATGTGTCGTTGACAACAACTTTTTCCGACATCAAATAGAACAGAAATGACGCATACAATATTGACTAAACATTTCTTCTACTGATAGTATAGAAAAGGATTGAAACATAAACAGTTATTATTAGTACTATCTGTTTTTTTTTGTATTATGATTAGTAAAAATATTTAGCCAATTTTGTCTATACAGATGATTACGTTATTTTTGACAGTTTTGTTCATTCTGTCCTATTTACGCGAAAGCTCAACTATTTCTTATTTTGATGTGATTAGATACAACATGAATTACTCTATCGACCTAAATAGTTTTTATTTTATTTTATTTGCAACTTCTCGAAAACTTTGACCAAGTCCGAGAAGTACGGAATCGAAACTTTTGCAAGCTCATATCTCAGTTCGACCGAATTCATTAATGATAAAATTTGCTTTAGATGGCAACGGCCCATCTTACTGAGACGTGCAGAAAATATTAGACAACACTTATTCGAAGTTGAAGAAAAATTGGATTTCGTTATTAAAATTTGATCCAAATTCATATTCATGACAAACCCAGTTTACATTACTTTTTGCAGAAATCTACTTGTAAGACAGAATATAAATTTGTTTAAAATTGTGTAAATCGATAGAGAAATCAACGCTCTACTCAAGTATATATCAAAGAAAAAGATGGTTAAATATTTAGACATCTAAATTTTCTTCACAGGAAAATCGAAAGTAATATATATGAAAAAAGTTTTACCAAAACATTTCTTAGAAGATCACCAAGGTTTTTAGTAAAGACAAAGAATAAGTACAATGAAAAAAATATGGCTTGGTAAAGAAAATAACGGTCTCTTATTCTATATAAAATAAAAAAATTCAGTATCGCCATGAATAGTAGAAAAAATTACCTGAGAAATGGTCTGAAAATTATTGATTAAAAAACATGTTTCGAGTGCTTTTTAAAATGAATGAAATTTTTCGACCAGATACAAAGAAAAATAAAATAAAAGCTAAATAGTTCGATAGAGTAATTCATGTTCTACCCAACCATATAACAATAAGAAATATTTCAGATTTTTTATAAATAGAACAACGTGAACAAAACTGTCAAGAATAACATAATCAACCTGTACGTACCATTTCTATTCTATTTTATGTCAGAAGAAATTATTTTCACCAATGCAATGTCATATTTTGATCTTTTTCAATTAATCGAAATAAACGAAGAGAATTATTATACCAGATCAAAAATATCTGATCTAGAAAATAATTTTTTCAATGTTCCTTTTATACAATAGAATCCATAGTTGTATTGATTTAATCGGAAGATATCCGTAAAACACATCAGAATATAACAATCAAAGACATTGTCCTATTATCAAGACAAATAGGAAGTGTATATAAATGGGTTAAGTTATGAATAATCACTGTGATCTTTGACAGTATAACAGAGATGGTTAAAAAAAAGAGATTCCATTGTTCGATGGTTTATTAGATATTAATCTGCTGAAAGGTATTAATTATTACGCCGACAGAAAACAAAATGAACTATGTTGATAATGAACAATATTAAAATAATCTGTTTGCAAAAATTCAACAGGTAATTAAATATGAACAAAAACAAAAGATTTAACATTTACCATATCAAAGAAACAATCTTAAGTTTGACTAACACTGAAAGAGTGTGTACTGGAACTCAGGTACATTCAATTTATTGGGGTTAAATTACACGTGTTACATGCAAACTAACAAATTAATATATGAGGTTACGTATGACATGCACAGATAAACATATAGGAATTTTAAAATATTTATAGTGTTTATAATATGTTAACAATACAAAATTTTGCCAGTTTTTATTCACTCTCTTTGTCATGATTGGACAGAGTTCGTCGTTTGATATACAAAAACGTGTTTTCAAACAAAAAACAAAATGTTTTTGGAGAAAAGTCGCATTTTTTGATTCCCTTCTCCCTCCTCTCCTGCACTTCCGGTAGAGCTTATCAGATTCGAAATTCCGATATCCGAACCCAGTTTACTGAATGTTTTGAAAATCCGGATCCTGTTGATCCCACTTTTTCGGACACCAATCGAACCACACTTTGATACTTTCAATGAAATTTTTTCATCGAAACTCGATAGTGGTCTTCAAGATACGAGATTTTTCTTCCTGACTTTTCACATTTGTTGACAGAGCCTGTCGAATCTAAAGTTTTCGGACGAGGGCCGATCGGATTTGAGACCAACTCGGTGAACTTTAACGTTCAATATAAAAATAACTTTCTGAGAAAAAGTCTGCTGGTTCAAATATACTGCTCTTCACTTATTAAATAATAGTTCATTAAATATGTGAATATAAAATAAACAAAAGATACATTTCATAAGCAACAAACAAAATTATAATCTATTGTAAAGTTTTTATTTTGTACATACATCGAATTGTAATGAACAGAAAATAGTAAAAACAAAAATGAAATTCAATACCAATGGTACTCGAAAATATCATATAACTGGTGCAGAAAACAATTATCTGCTCATGTAACAAAATCTTGAATTATTTTAACATCGTATTCATATTCATTTGATTCGTTCAGTTCATTTTCTATTTAAAATTATTTTTCAAAACAAAATAGCTTTGAAAGTTTCGCCAAAGTTGTGTGAAAAAAAAAGTATTCCTAGTAAGTGTTTGGATGTCCAAAAATATTCAACTTCTCTTCCTTCTCGTTATTTATTTGAACATCCAGTATGGATGAACCCACGTATAGCTTGACAATCTATCCAGCCATGATGAAAAAAGAAAAATAAATCCTAATGAAATTTTGAATTTTTATCCTGAAACATAAGGTGTAAATACTTTAAAATTAGGATATTTTAGTTCATATATGTCTTACGTAGTTCGCATTTTCAATTTGTTGCTTTGCCAGTGATACGTGTAACTGAACTTGGATAAGTGTAATGTATTCGAGTTATCATGTACACTCGTATGTTGCATGCAACAACTCTCGATATTAGAAATTGCAAATAAATCTGACTAGTTTTGGTATTCAATTACTTCTGTAATATAAGTCTTTTCCAAGAAACAGAGTAATGTTAACTAAAAATACCATATTTGAAACGGTCTCACATTGACGGAACCATTTGAAAAAATCATATATTTACATAACATTGCTAATCAGCAATTTTTGAACATCGAAGACAAATAGATTATCAATTGAAATGAATTCTATTGTTAATAGAAATTGATATTTTACATTGCTCAGTATCTTAACAAAGAATGACTTGACATAAGCTTTGTTCTATCAATAAACTACATGATTCAGTTTTCTAAAATCATTAATTTCTATCTATCAATATTTAAATAAGTAAATATAAATTAACTGCTCTTTGAACAAGATACATATCTAGTTCGAATCAATTCTAATTTTTAATTCATAACGAATGAGTGTACCATTGATCATTACATACTTCCCTCGCTATGAATGTAACTGTTAATAT